AATAAAAAATTCAATTTCAGCATTTTAGACAATTGAGACCATGATTGTCTAAATGTCTAAATTAATTTATATTTTAGGCATTGTCTAAATACTTTAATTTAGACACCCATCTATATTGCTTTTCCTTTGAACTTTCATTTAATAGAAAGGATTCTAAATTTGGGCCACTAGTTCATGAGTTCTATATTTTTTAGAAAGGTGATAAAAAGTTGTGATTAAGCAGCTCCCGCACCATATGAAGCAAAAAATTTGTTGTGATGCGAATTTAATTATGATTCGCTGAAATGTAATACAAATTTGTGATAAAAATAGAATTCTAAAAAAAAAAAATTTATTAAAATTAAAAAATGGATTCAACTATTTTTGAAATTTATTTTAACGAAAATGAAAGATTATTAAATACAGAAGATTTCTATGATGTAAAAATTTATGTTGGTATAGAACCAAACATTAAAGAAGTTCATGCACATTCATCAATCATATGTGCTCATTGTCCTTTTTTTCAAAATGCATTAACTGATGCAAAAAAAGTAGATGGCTACTATATTATTGAGAAAGCAAATCTTAATGAATTGGCCTTTAAGACAATACTGAAGTAAGTTTGTTATATTATTGATAACAATAATTTTTATCATTTTTTAATTTATTAATAATAATATCAATAATAACATTCTACATTTAAAAGATTTTTATATACTTGTAAAATTGAATTGGATGAGCTTAATGGAGCAGATGTATTGCAATTATTGATTGCAGCAGATGAACTTGGCCTTGAGTTATTTTACAAACACACAATGAATTACTTTATCAAAAAACATGAAGATTATGTTAAAGAAAATCCAGTTAAAATTCTAAGATTAATCTACTCTAATGAAGAAAAATTTAAGGAATTGAAAAATATTTATCTTGAAAAATTTTGTGAATATAGTGATAAATTATTTGAGTCAAGTGAATTTGAATTATTAGAAAAATCAACTTTATTGGCTATACTTGAAAGAGATGATTTTCATGTTGATGAAATAATTATTTGGGAAAGTATTCTTAAATGGGGACTATCTAAGCATCCAGAAATTAACAATGTTAATTATGTTAAAGTTTGGACAAAACAAAATTTTACTGATTTAGGAAACACTTTGAAAGGATTAATTTCTTTGGTTCGATTCCAGGATATCTCTAATGTGGATTTTCGTTATAAAATTTTACCTTTTAAGGAACTTTTTCCTAATGATTCATGGGAAACTCTTTTAGATTATTATTTAGGTTCTGAAAAACAGCAAACTTTAAATTTATTACCATCAAGAAATCAAAAAATTAAGACAATATTTCCAGAACTTAAATCAGTAACAATTAACCAAACATCATTGTTGCTTTTTGCAAGTTGGATTGATAAAAAAAATACACCATACACATCATTCAGAGAAGTCAAATATGAATTTAAACTTTTATATCGAGGTAGTAGAGATGGTTTGAATGCAACTACATTCCATCAAAAATGTGATAGTATCCACAAAACTCTTACAGTTGGAAGAATACAAAATTCAGAACAAATAGTTGGAGGCTATAATCCACTTAATTGGAATGGGAAGGAAAATAAAACTACAACTGATAGTTTTATATTTAATATAAAGAATCGAAATGATATTAATACTGCTCAATTTAGTTATGTTAATAATAGTGATAATCAATATGCAATTAAGTGTGATCCTTCTTGGTTACCTGATTTTGGTAAAGATGATATTTATTTTGATCCAAATGGTAAAATTTATAGTGTACCATTGATTTATGATGTTATCAATATAGTAAATGGTAAACGATATGATGAATTAGAGGTTTTTCAAATCATTGAAAAATGAATTTGTATTTTTTAAATGAATTTTTATATTTTTATATTTGATTAATTTACTAAATTCTTTTATTTATAAATTTATTTTAATCCTTTTATCAAAAATAAAATTTAGAAGTAAAAAATCATCTATGTTGTTCATATTTTTTATAATGCATTGACCAATTATGACCATTGCAACAAAGCATGACGTATAATTTACTTCTGAGGGAAGGAAAATATTAATACAAATTTTAAAGTTGTAAATAATAAAATGATTTGTTAAATGGCTTTACCAAAAAAGAAAAATTTTTAGGTTATTATAAGACTGCTCCAGTCAACATCAAAATGTTGCAGTTTTCAATATATGTTTAATATTTGGAAACCATATGAACCAGTGCAGAATATTTTTGTGAACATTTTCCCATATACTTTTAACACGAAAAACACATACTCCATGCATACCCTTTCCATATGTTTTGGTATGGGAAAGTTCAATTTTCCATATGTATATTATATATGCCTTAGTACCTATTCAGTACTTATTCCATACATAATTTTTTTAGTAAGTGGTGTTAAATTCATCTTAATGCAAATTTATAAGATTTGCTGAACAAAGAATTTTCATTATTTATAATATCTTAGATAGTATATATCAATTCGAATTAAAATTTCGTTGATTTATAAAGATAACTTGAATCCTGATGAAATTACTGGATTTTGATGATGTGCTTAAAAGAAATGGGTTTAAATTACCTTCATCAGGTTTCAACCAACAATCATTTATTTTGCTTCAAAAATATTTTGAAAATTTAATTGATGAGAAACCAGAATTATTTCAAAAACTCAATATTGAAAGGCCAATGATTTAGATTTAAAGGATGTTCAACGGGAATTGGACTAATTGAAAGTTTGGAAGAAGGGGAAAAAACATTTCAGAGCCAAATGAAAATGATTTTAAAGAGCCGAAGAATATATTATTCCTTTAGAGGGTTTTAGTAACCAAATCATTCCATATCAAATGCTTTTTCCAAGGGTTTATGGAAAGATATTACACATTATTATATGATTCCTGATAAACAACCATTTTTGAGAATGTCATCATCAAGAAATTTATTAGTTATCGACAAAAAGAACACTTTACCTTTTGCAAATTGGATTGATAGAAAAACACCATATGGGTCACAAAAAAAGGACAGGGTACAGGTAATTGTGGCTAATGCCTGTCCCCTGTCCTTTTCTTGTTGATGAAAATCATTCATATCAAAAAATTCTGATCTGTGTAACCAATCTGTTTTTTCATTATTTTTATAACAAATTCAATATCTTATCACAATATTATTCATTTCGGAAGTGATGGTGCTTCTAACATGATTGGTATGAAATTGATGAAATTATTATTTAATTGTGCAAAAATTAATTTTTTTTAACCAGTTCATTTTAATTATTAGGACACATGAGCGGTGTTGTAGCAAGATTTAAAAAAATCAACCCATTCATGACTTCAAACCATTGTATATCGCATAGGCTGGAAAAGATGTTTCAGAAGAAGTTATATATTTTAAGAAATAAGAAAAAACTTTAAAAAATTTGTATAGTTATTTTTCAAAACCTTATAAAAGGCAACAAATCTTAAAGATGATGCAGGTAATCATCATTTTTTCATCCTTATATCCTTTTTATCAATACTTTTTATTAATAATTTTTACTGTTAACTAGGAAATTAATGAAGAACCATCACTTGTAATATTAACTATGTGTGACACTAGATCAGTATTATACATATAGTGCATATAGTTCTAGATGTGAAAACCATTTATGCCTTTGTCCAAATGCCACAATTCAAACAAAGAAATTATTTTGGAGAACATTTTGATACTTCAATACTAGCAACAGATAAATTACGACATAATTGAAAATGCCATTGAAGAAGTTAAAAAAAAAACTTGATAAAAAAACTTACAATAAAAAAACATTATTTTTTTTTTTGAATTATTTCTTTATATATTAATATTTAATATTAATGTTAATAAAAATGTATTTTTCAATTTAAATATGGATCATAAAAATCCAGCAGTCACCAAAAATATACTTTTTCTTATTAAATATGGATCATAAAAATCCTAATCATAAATAATTGCTTGGCTTAGAAATTCTTTTAAGTTTATGTATTTTATTAAAAAGCAATTTTTTAAAGAAAATTGTTATTTTCGAATAAGCATCTAAAGAAAATTTATATTTATTTAATTATACATTGTTATGTTATTATAGTAATTGTGTTAATAATATTAAAAACAAACATACTATAATTATACATAAATGATTAATTAGAAAGCTGAAATTTTATCTTGGCCAATTCTCACAAACCCCTTCTTAAACTTTCTCAAAATAACGAATTTCTTGCCTACAATATCTTTAACTCTAAGTCCATCGACGATAATACTGCAATCGCCACTAAATTTGGCTTTAGGAGAATTAATTTGCAAGGTTGAAAAAACATCAGTCACACTTTTGTCTCCAATGATAAATCTATAATTATTAACATTCGGGTCCACAAAACCATCGGAGAACAGTGCAGTTGTAACTAGCAGTCGATAACTAGCTTTAACGTCAAACTCCTCAACAAAGGTGACTACACCTTTGACTTTATCATTGTCACCGAATCTTGCAAAAGCAGCTTTGCCTATATCTGGTTCTGGTGGTGGTGCGCGTTTTTCCAAGGAGTCTACATCGCGTTTTTCTTCGAGAACTGATGATGCGTAGGTAAATGCATTCGAGAAAATCATAATAATTAAAAGAGCAAATGCCAAGGATTTAAAAGATTTTGACAACATTTTTTTTTTTTTGTATATTAAAATTTTTTTTTTGTTATTGTTATTATTATTAAATCTTGAGATGATTTAAGAATGATTTTTTGGAAGGAAAATGTGGATACGTTTTATACGTTTTCAATAAACAGATATTTTAATTGTTGAAAAATACAAGTTAATTTTATTGGAAAGATTACAGGCAAAAGTATTTGGACGCCTATTTTTAATAATCATGCAAAAACTCCATAATAACTATACATAAAATTCTATCAAAATGTAGTTAGGCTTTGATGAATATGCATGTAAGTTTTGATATTTTTAAAATTTCATTTAAAAACCCAAAACTCGACGAGAATATTTTAATTCAAAATCCTACAATGAAATTTTATATTAGATCATGCAAAACTCGCATTATGATATTTTAATTAAAAAACCAAGAATGATGATCATCTATTAATTATTCAAAAACTCGCATTATCAAAATGATAGCTCAAGTTTTAATGAATATGCATGTATTTTTAAAGATTTTATTTAAAACCCCCGAAACTCGACAAGAATATTTTAATCATTCAAATTTACACAAAAATCCTACAATGAAATTTGCATTAAATTATTCAAAAACTCGCATTATCAATGTAAACTTAATATGTATGTAAGTTTTGAATTTTAATTACACAAAACACTTCATAATGAAAATTTCCAGGTGGACAAATTTCTCTAAGATTATCCTATCTTAACAATGACGAGGTAATATAGGATCATCCTATGTGGGTTATATATATATGAGAAATGTATATCATTTTATTAATAATAAACAAATAATAAAGGTCAAACGTGGCCCAGGAATTCTCTATATTAATATTAAGTTTTAAAGGTCAATTGTGACTAGTGTTGGTCGCCAAAACTATTTTGAAGAGGTGAAAGTCAAAACTACAATTAAAAGTTATATGCCAAAACTAAATCAAAAGTCAATAGTGAAAAATCAAAACTAGTTTTGACTTATGGCGGAACCTTTTGACTTTCGCACGGTTGCGAAACTCTCTAGTTTTGGAACCAACACTAGTTGTGACCCAGAAATTCTTTATATTAATATTAATATGTTTAAAGGTCTAATGTGATCCTGAAATTTTCAATATGTTTCCAAGATCCTGAAACTCTATATGTTTTCAAGTTCAATTATAGCCTGATTCTTTATATATTTTGAAGGTCAATTGTGATACCGAAATGCTCTATCTTAATATGTTTTCAAGTTCAATTATGACCTTGAATTCTCTATATGTTTTAAAAGTCAAAGTTCATCTTTAACATTAGGAAATTTTTCTAACGCGGATTTACGTAATTATTACACTATTTACATAAGTTTACGGCGGGTCCTGTAATATTATGCAAATGAGCATACAAAAATTATGCAATTATTACATTGAGTGTAAATATTACATAATTTTTTATGCAAATATTACAACTTTACATATTAAAATTTATGGACGTAATATTTACGGCGGGGAAATTTTCCTGATGAATTATTATAAGAAAGAAATAGTTTTAAAATGCATAGAACATACCCGTGGGAGAAAGAAATCGATATAACTGGAAAAGTAAGGGTTGCAATCTACCTTTTATTTGAATATAGCATTATATAGGATATTCCTATAGATATTTATACAACATTGCCGTCAGTTGCAACTCCGTAAATTCTGCTCCAAGTTGTATTTGGTAATGTTAATGGTCATAAGCAATTACGTTTTGAATGTCTATATTGCAAAAGTCCAAAATATCAATGTGCTAGTTCAGTATCTTGCTTTGACCAAATCCCACAATTCAAACTAAAGAAATTATTTTGGGGAACATTTTGATACTTCAAATACTAGCATACAGATAAATTACGACATAATTGAAAATGCCATCGAAGAAGCTCATTAAACACATGATAAAAAAAAAACTCGATAAAAAAACTTACAATAAAAAAACATCATTTTTTTTTTCGAATTATTTCTTTATATATATTTAATATTAATATTAATAAAAATACGGCAGGTCACCAAAAATATGTTTTTTCTTATTAAATATGGATCATAAAAATCCGGCAGGTCATCAAAAATATGTTTCTTCTTATTAAATATGGATCATAAAAATCCTAATCATTGATTGATAAATAATCGCTTGGTTTAGAAATTCTCTTAAGTTTATTCATTTTATTAAAAAGCAATTGTTTAAAGAAAACTGTTATATTATCAATATTTTCAAATAAGCATCTAAAGAAAATTTATATTTATTTGATTATACATTGTTATGTTATTATAGCAATTGTGATAATAACTATTAAAACATACTATAATACATACATAAATAATGAAAATTGATTAATTAGAAAGCTGAAAATTTAACTTGGCCAATTTTTTTAAATTTCTCATTAATCTTTCTCTCAATAAGAAATTTCTTGCCTACGATATTTTTAACTGTAAGCCCCTCGATAGTAGTATTAGCAAAGCAATCGAAAATTTTTGCTCTAGGAGGATCAATTACCAAGATTGAAAAAAATTCATCCACATTTTTGTTTCCAATGGTAAATCTATAATTTTTAATATTCTTATCCACAAAACCATTGGAGAACACTGCAGTTGAAATTATCTCTCGAGGTTTAGCGCCAACGTCCTCAACAAAGGTAACTATACCTTTGACTTCATTACTGCCAGCGAATCTTGCAAAAGCACCTTTGACTGTATCTTTTGGTGCGCGTTTTTCCAAGGAGTCTACATCGCGCTTTTTTTCGAAAACTGGTGATGCATAGATAAATGCATTCGAGAAAATCATAATAATTAAAAGAGCAAATGCCAAAGATTTAAAAGATTTTGACAACATTTTTTTTTTTTGTATATTAAAATTTTTTTATTGTTATTGTTA